CCCTGTCTCTAAAAATAAAATAATAATAATCAATAAAGTTACCCAATGGCTCCCCATTAAGAGTTGAGTCCAACCTTGATAACCCAACACACAAAGCCCTCAATTTTCCGGCCCTGCCAGCCCCTCTACCCTCATTTTAGGGTATGTTTATCTTGTATCACCCAAGACTAATGTGGAATTGCACTCACACACTCTGCTGTCTCTTACCTTGGTGCCTTTGCTCTGCCCCCTGCCAGCCCCGCCCACCCCCTAGCTCCCTTCTTCATGTGGCTAACACATCTCAGGTTTCATGACAGCATCGCTTCTAGTCTTCCCAGGCTGCACCTGCCTTCCCATCCTGAGCTGACAGCATCTTCTTTGTTCTCTCCCATTCTTATGCTGAAGTTAGCTGAAGTTAACTTGTAATGCTGGGTCTACCTACTTGTGTGTCTGTTCACTCACAACAGTAAGCTCCTGAGGGTGGGGCCCCTGCTTTATTCCACTTCCTGTCCTTGGCTCCTGGCACAAAGTAAGTGTTTGGTGAACCGAGCTGAAATACAAGTTGTTTTTCACTCACATTACCTATTACTTAATGTTCACAAAAGCCTTTGAGATAAATATTGTTATGCCTACTTTATGAATTAGGAAACTGAATCTCAGAGATGTCACCCAAAATCATGCAGCAGATAAGCAGTAGAAGACTATGCTTAAATCCAGGTCTGCTGATCTTGAACTTTTGGAACCTCTGACCACAAAGCCTTGAGTTTTTTTTCTGGATTCATCTTTTTGTATTAGTTAAGAAATATATCATAGTTACAAAAGAGCATATATGACATTAAGTATATACCTTTAATAATGATAATAATAAGACTAGGAATGCCCATGTAACCCATCACCCAGTTTAGGAAATAGATAGATCATTGCTAACACTTTGAACCACCATCCAAATTTTGTGTTTATCATCCCTTGCTTTTCTTTAGGTTTCCCACAAATAGATGTACTCCTAAACAACGTATTGTGTACTTTTGAATGCTTTTGAATAATGATGTATATAATCTTCCACGGATTTGCTTTTTTAACCCAATATTTTGTTTTCAGGCTTCATCCATGTTGACGTGGGTACTCGGTAGCTGTGGTTGAGGCAATCGCCTTGCTGTGTAGTACCCGTCGTATAAATGTACCAACATTCATTTTCTCACTATTCCTGCTGATGGACACTTGAGCTGTTTCGTTTTTTTCTATTACAAAGAGTGCTGCTATCCTTGTACATCTCTCCTTCTGTCCTTGTACAGAAGCTTCTCTGGGGTATACACCTAGGAGTGAAATTCATACGCACATCTTCGTATTTTCCAAATACTGCCAAACTCTCTCCAAAGTCAATAGCATCAGTACTGAATAAGAATTTCTGTTGGTGTGTGTCCTTACCACCAATTGGTATGTGAATTTTTTTACATGTGTGTGTTTTGCCAACCAGCAGGTGTAAAATTGTTCTCACTGAGAGTTTTAATTTGCATTTTTCTGACTACTGGTGAGATGGATGTATTTTATGTTTATTAGCCATTCATATTTTTTCCTTAGGAAGAATACCTGTTTATGTCTTTGCCCATTTTTCTCTTGGGTTGTCCGACTTTTTCTTATTGACCTGTAGGAGTTACTTATGTATTCTGGATGTGAATTCTTTTTCAGTCATATGTGTGGTAAATAAATGTTCTCGATAAGTTTGTGACTTATCGTTTCACACTTTGTGGTGTCTATTGATGTATAAAAGTCCCTAGTTTTATTGTAATTGCATTTATCAATCTTTTCCTCCGTGGTTTGTACTTTTTGCATTTGTTTAAGGAATCCTTCCCTATGCTTATTAATAAATGTGTTATAAATAAGCATTACTTAAATGCTTATAAATAAGCATTGTTAACCGAATTGTGCTAAAGATTAAATTTTTTAAAAAAACTGTTTTGTTAATGCTGCAAGTGGATAATCCCAGGCAAGGTAGGCAAAATGTAACCCTGCTCTCAAAGTTTCTGGTAAAGTCCACTTCAAATGAAATGGCACCAGAATAGAATTCTTCAAATTAACTGAGGAAGACAGACCTCCACATTTCAGCACTGAGGACAGGAAAAAAATCACATGCTTTTGGCATCATGTGAAGGGAACAGGATATCTCCAGAAGAAATCCCACAAGAGGTAGAGGCCATCACAGAGTACAGAACAATCTCCACAGCTCTGCCTACACTGCTGGGACCAAAATAGTTCACATGGCATTCCTGCCGCCTCCTTGTGAACTGTGGGGAAGGAACACTGGTCACGAATTCTTCCTTTCAACCACCCCCACACACTAGGACAGCAGCAGCAACCGCAGTGGCATCTTGGCGTCTGGAGAACAGCACGTGGTAGGCTGTACAGCATATCATCTTTGCACCGAGTACCGTCTTCCTCCAAACATGAGAGGTTCTTAACAAAATAAAGAAACTGAAAATGATTTTTTTAACTAGAAAATAAAATGGGAACGAGTTGAGTGTAGCAGAGTGTCAACTAAAGAAAAAAGTGAAGCTTTTAAGGAATTGAAGTCAGTTTTGTTCAGAAGTCTTACTGAAGACTGAAGACGGAGGCCTATAGCCCAGGAGTGTTTCAGTTCACAGCTTAAATACGGGTGGTGGGGGTTCAGGATGTGCAACACCACATCAAGGTTTTGGTATGACCTGGTTATAGATTACTCAAGTATATTTGGTAATAGAGTGTAGAAGCATAATCACTAACCCTATCAAATGTTATCTCATGTGTAGGAAAAGGTAAGGACTGGGGTAATTTATCTTTTAAGGAATATCGTGACTCAGCGGCCACGTGCTCTATCCTATTTTGCCTCTAAAGCATCTTTCCAGAGAGCTGCATGTCATCACAGAGTGAGAGGCTTTGTGAAATTATACTGGCAAGCGGAAACAAGCAAACGTGGCTTTTTACATTTGCTGCTTTGTCTCACAAGACTATGAGGGCCAGATCATAAAGGGTCTCATATGCTAGGTTTAAAAAGTGTGAACTTTATTGTGTCGATGGGGAGGTTTCAAGGTATTTTATTTTATTTATTTTTTTTTTTTGAGACAGAGTCTCACTCTGTTGCCAGGCTAGAGTGCCATGGCGTCGGCCTAGCTCACAGCAACCTCAAAATCCTGGGCTCAAGGGATCTTCCTGCCTCAGCCTCCCAGGTAGCTGGGCCTACAGGCACGCGCCACCATGCCCGGCTAATTTTTTTTTTTTTCTATTTTTAGTTGTTTGGCCAATTTCTTTCTATTTTTTTAGTAGAGACGGGGTCTCGCTCTTGCTCAGGCTGGTCTCGAACTCCTGAGCTCAGAACGATCCACCCACCTCGGCCTCCCAGAGTGCTAGGATTACAGGCGTGAGCCACCGCGCCCAGCCTCAAGGTATTTTAAACAGGAAAGCAACATGATCCACTTAGTATTTTGCTTGTTAGCAACTGTATAACTACTTACAATCTGGTGGATAGAAAATACTAAAGAGTGACTGAACCAGGTTCTGTGGGTTCCCCTCCCACCACGATCCCCCAATTTCTGTTCATCCTGGCTGGCAGAGCTCACCTCTCACTCTCAAGTCTAGAAATGCCCAAGAATCACTTTCCCAGCCTCCCTTGCTGCTGTACCTCAAGGATGGCAGAGCAGAAAGATGGAAGTGACATCATAGAACCACGTAGAGACACATCCCTCTGGAGATAACAGATACTTACTTTTAAAGTCACTCTTCTTTGGATATTGTTATTTGCACCCTAAAGCATACCAAGGGAAAGAAGTATTAATAAAACAACTGACATGAATTAATGTGATGTCAGAAAAAATATAACAAATAGACACTTTTTTCCTTCACATATTTATTTGAAATAAATCAGCCTCTTAAAATTAGGAATAGTTAACTTAGCTATCATTATTAACTGTTCACCGAACATTTCAGGTGCTCAAGCAAGAAACTACACAACCTCCAAGATGACGTGTTGTTTTTTCTGTATCTGAAATGACCTTTTCTCACTTTTTTCTCTCATTTGCACGTTTTCCCTAAGAAACACTGAAAACTTTCTCCCTGGTCCCTCCTAGGCAGCAATGTCTCTTTCATGAAGTCATGGAAGTAAAGCACATTCTCTAAGAAGAATCTCAGCATCGTGTAAACAAAAGAACTGCAAGTTCCAGAGCTTCAGGCAGCAATATAATGTTCTCAAAGTGAAAAATTCCTTACAGATCATCAGTGGTAACACATTAGAATTTGAATACAGGTAAAACCAGAACATCTGGTTAGAGTTCTTAAGACCATTAACACTATCTTCCATCCTAAATTCATATGTACGGTAGCTGGCAACTTGTCAGCAATTCCTTCTGGTCCCATCTGAAGTAAACACAATCCATTCACCAAATACACGTTGGGGTCCTCCAGCCACCACTGGGAATTCCTTCCTTCATTCCAGGAATATTTACTAAGGATCTACCAAATGTTGGCACTGAGATTTAATCGCTTGGATCTTTACAATCTCATCTTGCTTACTATATTTTGGGGGAACTCATTACTTTTTCATATGCAAACAATTTTAAAACTATCAATGAGAAAAACTATTTGGAGATAGAGAACTGGAATTGCCAGCTAGAGATGCTGGTAGCTGCTTAGGCTTGGTCAATGTCTCCTTTCTCTCCCATTCCCTTAAGCGCCTTGGAGATGACCGTGCGGACACCGGGCAGGCAGGTCAGCGAGGATGCCGAGCGGAGGCCCGGCGGGCGGGAGGACGCGGTGCGCGCCGGGCAGCACCGGGAGGCCGCAGACGGCCGGGATCCCCGCGGGCACCTCGCGCCGGGGGAGGGAGGCCGGGCCGGGCCGGGCCGGGCGGGCGGGCGGGCGGGCGCCGCACCTGCGGCCGCGCGGGGGCGGGAGCCAGGTAGCCTCGCCCGGCACCGCGCAGGAAGTGGCTGCGGCGCGGCCCGGGCGCGGCTTCCTCGCGGTGCAGCCCGGCCGGGAGGCGGCCGCGGCCCGAGCCCGAGCACCGGGATCGAGACCTAATGGCGGGCCCCGGGGACGCCGCCTCGGCCGCCCTGGACGAGCTGTCCCTGAACTTCACGTACTGGGTGCCGGGCGCCGGCAATGGCTCCCTGTCGGGCGCGTGGTACCGCAGGAACCAGGTAAGGGCCGCCGCCTGCAGCCCCGCGCAGCCCCGCGCTGGCTCCGGGCGCCCCTGCTCCTCGGCCGCCATCCTGCCAACTCTCGGGAAGACACCCGCGCTGTCCGAGTGGGAAGAGCTGACATGTGACGTGCCCACGCATTGACTTAACCCCCCCCTTATTTGGGGAGCAGGGCCCCCAGTCTTCCTCTCCCGGGCATCAGTCACCGGAGTGGGCGCCCAGGGCTTCGGCCTGACCTCTGCGGGCTGTCCCTGGGCCTCTGGGTCCCGACGGATCCCGCCTCCCCAGCCTTATCCCGCCCTCTTCTCCCCGGAAGGTTTCTAGGAGTGTGGGGGTGAATTGTGCTCATTTACCCCATGATTCTTTTACAATTAAAAAAAAAAAAAGGTGACACCCCGTTCTCAGAAGCAGGGAACTCAGTGAGGGCAACCAAATGTCAACTCACGCAGATGCCCTGCGTGTGTGTCCCCGGTGTCTCAGCCCAGCTCTTCCATTTCCGTGCCAGGAACACTGATATTCTCAGGTTGCAACTGCAGGGCTCTCTCATTCTTTCTCACTGGCCCTTTGGGAAAACATTGTCAACCTAAACAACGCCAGTTTACACTGGCAATACACATTTAACAAGATCAAAGGGGACTGGAGGGCCCATTTATTTTTGGTTTGGTTTAAGATCAGAAAAAGAGCTCTGGCCAGCCCTTCCTCCAGTAGCATTCATGTTCTTTCCAGTGGGGGTGAGCTTGAACACAGTGGACTCCAGGCTTCCTCCTGTTTTCATAAGTGCTACTTTGTTCTTGTTCTTTAACAAAGCCATTGATATTTTTATTTTACAACAATATAGTCATAAAATATCTGCTGCTACTGGTCTAAATCAGAGATTTTAACCAATAACCGAAGATCTAGAATCCTTATTTATGCTTGAAAAGTGTCTCAAATGCTGGTTTCTAAACGCAGAAGATAATTTTTGTGTAAGGAATAAGTAGATAAGTAAGCGTGTCCACCTTATTAATTTTCAAGAGGGGAGAGTACTGCTTTAAGTCCATTTCATCACAAAAGATATTAAGATAGGAAAAATGAGGGGACTCAGAGCCTCTTGTTCAATGTTTGTAACTTTTCCTGATTTCTCTCCTTCCTTCCACCCACAGGAGTTACAAAGAAAAGAATCACTTTTTGGGGATCTTCTTTGAGTATATTTGTTATATTACACTTATACTAGACACATTCCCAGTGAAAGTTTAAGAATGAGTTATCCCCTCTTGGTGAAGAAATTAGAGGGTCAGTAGATGTGACCTACCATGGCATCATCCAAAACAGGAAAACATTGTTTTCATAGTGGAAACTTCTGTAGTCATTAGTTTTCTTTGACATTTCCTGGAATTCTTGATTGTCTTGGCTCTCTGATACCCAAATACAAATTATCATGTGACATAAATGTGAGACAAATAATGTTTGCAAAGCTGAATTTGCCTTTGACAGTGTGTATTTGTACAGGTTAGAAAGGGTGTATCCAGAATATGCTAATTGTAATTACTGAGCTGACAACTTAACTATTGCTGATTTGAGATAAGGCTGTTACCAACTTTTCCTATTGTTTTCTTTATTTTTTTCTTTTATTACAATTGGGAAAGAAGCAACTTTTCCCATTGTTGTGCAAATTTAGGCCATCTTGTAAGAATGTGGTATTTTTATCCTTTCAGTAATTGCATTTGTTTTAAGCAAAAGTAAAAATTAATTTTTGAACTTCATTCAATAAGCATTTTATTGAATGCCTCTAGATGTCCAGGCCAGTAAAAATAAAATGGAGTATAATTTTTCTTTTCTTTTTTGACACTAACAGAATAGAAATGGCTAAAAACAGGGTGGCTCCAGAAAAACAAAGTGTGAGATAGTAAGTGTGTGACTCCCACAATCAAAATTAACCTTGGTTGCTGGCTGGCCAAGGTTTAATGATGCTTGCTTCCATCCGTTTATCGCAACTGAAATATTTGCAGGTCTCTTTGCTGGATAGCCCAGCTCTCTGTTCCTTTCAAAGTATTACCATCAGATCTGATCAATTAACCTTACTCCACAGAAAAAGACTGACTCCCCTGGAATGCTTCCATGTAATAAATGAATGTTTAACAATAGCCACTGAGATTCAATATCGTCTAAGGCAAAGATGTGAGCGTTTCTGGAGGAGGAAATCTCAAAGCAAGTAGGAAGTTATGGTTCAGTGGGGAAGATGCTTTGGGGAGCCAGGAAGATGAGGTCTTTGCCCTTTGCACAACTCAGAAGCCTGCCTACTTGGTGAAGAGCTCTGCCTCTAGAAGTATAGATGTGACAGAATTCTGCCTGGCAAAGAAAGGGTACTTTCTTTATGTTTGATCTCCAGGTTTTCAGTACAAAAGAATAATGTTTCTAAGATGTTTATGGAACTCCCTGCTCCCCAAAGCACTGTGGGAATATTCAACATAGTCTAAGACCTAAACTCTTCCTTCCAGGAATATTTTTAGGTGCTTGGGGAAATGAGCTATCTAGGTAACTGCAAAACAAGGCAGTATGTGGTAAGCGTCATGTAAGTGCTATAAAGTCCTGTGAAAATTCAGAGCAAGGGGGCTTTCAGCTGGGGCCATGAGGGATGTTTCGTGGAGAGGTAGTATTTGAGCTGGACAATTAAGGATGGACAAGGTTTCAATGATAGGAGTACACAGGTGGAGGGCACTGCAGGGAAGGAAAAAGTCCGGGACCAAGGAGCAGCCCTTGGGGTCTGAGGTAGGTACCTTTCTGAACATTTCCCTACCTAGGGTACAATTTTGCTGTCCTTCTGGTTGCAGTGGAAGACTGAGACTGACTGTAAGGTGAAAATATGGTTTAGGATCTTAGATATCATCATGGATTGCCTTGAAGGACTGGTGAAGAAGTTTGGACTTTATCTTATAGAGAATGGGGAGCCATTGAAGATTTTCTTTTGAGCAGGGAGTGCAAGAATCAAAGCAAATTAAATAAAAGAAATTTAAAGTAGGATTAGCAGGATATAGAATAGCAGCCTCAAACAGGCCAACTGTGGGTGAAATCCAGTCCATACATATGTCTTGCTTAACTTGCAGAAAGGTTTAAAAAATGTTTAATATATTGCCAACATTTAAGAATGATATTAAATATAAAATTTCAAGTTTCCATCATCTCTTTAAAGATTAGAAGTTCTAGCAACAGAGCCCTTTTCCCACATGATCACAGTGAGCTGGAGCCCCACTGTAGCCTCTCCCTTTGTTCTCATTTCTTTTACCTATTGACGCCCTCACCCCACCCCATAGGCATTTAATTGGCAACCAGCACTAGAGTCTGTTGACTTGTGCTTGGGCAAGTCGCCTAATTTTCTGGGCCTTGGTTTCCTTACCAGTAAAATCAGGGTTGGACTAGAAGATCTCCAAGGTCTCTCATGCTATGTGGTTGCGTAAATAAAGGCCAAACCAGCAAGGTTGTAGAGGGAGTGGACAGGAGAAGAAGAATGTGGGAAATACTGTCAAGGAGGGTTTGCTGTTAGTTCTTTAAGTTTATGCATATTGCTAAATACCCAAATTCACAATTACATTGTCAGAAAGGTTTATTCTACATAGGGTGAGATGAAACTTCAGAATTTTTTATGCCCTTTATTTGAACTTTTGATTTTCAATGGCTTGAATTTTTAAAGTCAACACATTTAAAGGAAAATTGATACAACTTGGCAGGGAAGAGGCAAAGTGAAGAGACTGACATTTGTTACGCAGTTACCATGTGACACTTTATAGCTATTATCTCACTTAAGCCCCCCAACAACCTCATAAGGTAAATATTACCCTCACTGTTCATATAAGGGAACTTGTGTTAAATAATGTGCCCCAAGATCTTACAGCAAGTGGGTTTAACTGCAAAGCTATATTTAGGTCATGCCTGAAGGCCATTGCTAGAAACTAAGACTTCAAAACAGTGTGGCGTAAGAATAAATGTGAGGGAGACCATGAATGTGGCTTCTGTTGCTGTATTGGAAAAAAATCATGTCGAGCTTTGTGTTGCCCTTTTGTTGATTTTGCTTTGCTACCTCTATCTCTTTTCTGCTGGTAGCTGCATATGACTATCTCTTAAAAAAAGAAAAGTGTCAAAACTTGAAAATAATCAAAAGGCTGGGTAGAGGTTGTTGGTCCTTTCCATTTCCTTATTAAGAAAAATCCTTTTTCTGTTTTGTTTTGTTTTGTTTATACTTATTGATTTTTTCCCCTTCCTTTTGTATCCAATGTGGCAATTTCCCTTTACTAAATTTTCTAGGAAAGGTATGTGTAAGGCAGCCGGAAGGAGGAAGGAAGAAAGAAACGGATGACCTCAAAGCAGCTGTATCAAAGCTTTTGTAAAAGAATAAATAAGTCTCCTGGTCCTTGTTAGAGAAATAGTTTTAATGCACTTGTGAAGTTGGCAGACCAGGTATTTGCATTTAAATCTACGTGATACCCTCCTTATGTCTTGATTCATACTAACTAGTTGTAATACTCACATTGATGCAGTCAAATCCAGGCTGTGGGAAACTCTGCCAGTTTATAGGTTTATATGGCCTAGTTTCTTCAAAAATCATTTTTACAAAGAGAAAAAGGGACAGAATGTATGGTGGGAGAATCTATAGATTAAAATAGACTTAAAAGACATAGCAGAAAAAAGGCAACTACAGTTGTACCAAAGGGTACACACTTGGGTGATAAAACTATACGGAAAAGCAAGAAAGTGATTGCCACAAAGACAGGCTGGCAGTTTTTCTGGGGCAGGGAGAGGGTTGTGATGGGACTGGGGCAAAGGGAGGGCTTGGGCAGGGGCCCAATTTCTGTTTCTTGGTGTGGATGGTGGTTACAAGGCTGTCTGTCTTATAATAATTCATTAGAGTAATTTGTTTATCTAAATAATTCTCTTTGCAGTTGTCTGTATCTATTATGTGCTACAACTTTAAAAAGTTTAAAAAATAATATTAGCATTTCTGTGACTGTTCAACTTGCATGTTTCAC